TGAATTTAATTTAAATGAATGTAATAATCATGATTTATAATAATAATGTTTTGGTATTGTTTTGTATGCATCCACGTTTCATGGACTGTGCAAAGTTTTATTTGTATAACTGTTTACAACCTACTTTTTTGCCGTAAAGCAGACTCTGTGCGTGGGGCCAAGAGTTTAAAAAGCTGTTGTGCCAGTGAGACAATGGATATCTGCAAGCGTGGAACGAAAAAGTCCGCTTTCGACCCTTGATAGGGTGATAGTACTTGTGTTTATTTGACTGTATCCAGTTTAAACGCGTCATTAAGTATGTATTTGGAATCTGTGTTATTTACATGAATAAACCCCAGAGACTTGTGAGTACATTGGGTCTTCATTCAAGGTATTTGGACGCTTTCAAATGTGAGTCAGAGCTTGAATTCCTGTGGCCTTAGAACAATGTGCTTTTGATAAACGGCCAGAACACAGTTTTCCCTGTCCCGTCACATAGCTGCTGGCTCTGTAAAGTAGCATACCTGAAGCCAGTGATGGCCTTCTGGATGATGTTCTCGTCCAGGCTCTTGTCGAAGACGTAGGAGAGGGCAGCGATGGTAGGACCCCAGGTCATGGTAAACAAGTCATGGTCGTAGCTGCCAGCAGGGAGGTGGAGGAAAATACCCTCAGGTGTGGCGCCTCGGTGTAGCAACACACTCCATACATAGTTATCCTTCACTAACCCCGACTGCTCATCAGGCATCACAATCTCCTCATTCCTACGGAGGAAAAACACCTCAGCTGTTATCTCCAATGCAGAATGATAAAGGCTCTAACAAAAAAGCCTATGTTTTATATATAATATAAAAACATTTATAGGGTTGTGTGTCAGCTTACTTGATAGCATTGTAGATATCCTCCAACATGTCCTGGTCAAAGTCTTTGTTTCCATTAACTCCCTTCAGATTTTTCCTAAATTGCTGTAAAACAGAATATGAGTTCAGAATATGAGTTGGAATATTCATCCTTTATTCAGAAGCTTTATTCAAATAACATCCATTCTTCTGGGGGGAAAATACGCTGTCATCTATCCACCATCATTGTGTCAGTCAATGCATCTCAACACAGGAGCTTAGCTCAGACAGCCTCTGGCATTCAGGGCTTCGTTAACGGAGCATCCCGCAACCGACAATTAAAAGGGCTTCATGTGGAAACGCACTGGCCATGTGTTACTTAATATGCTTTAGTTGCAGTGTTGGGAAAACAGGGATTAAAGCCCAGAGCCTCCTGTAAATAAACACCAGCACCCTGCGATGACTGACGGCCTCAAGGCTGGGGGTTCTGCCCCCATCAGACGGTCTGTCCTCCCGGCTGCTAAAAAGAGGAGGATCTGAACTGCAGCTTCTCTGCAGGGACATGCAGGAAAATAAACATCGGCAGAGAGGCCACCGAGGATCACTCTGTTATCTACTTCTATCTGCAATACTCATGTGAGGGACTGGCACACAGTCAGTCACTATCAGAGAGACGATTTCAGAGCAGCCAATGTTAACCAAACCCATAACACACAGGCTGCAAAACAAAGCAGCATTCTGTATTTATTAGACACTATGAAGATCATCACACTGACCTTTTACCTGCACCTCACTTAACACATGTCATCTCACTGTCAGATCCTTGGAAATAGGATCTGATTTACACAGTGAGGCTAAGCATAGTTTTCCCATTCAAAAATAACCCCACTGCCAACACATGCTGTGGTGAATGCTACACATTGCAAGCTGCTAAGTCACCAAAGTGCCAGGCGCCACTTTTACTGGCCATCTACAAACTATTGTGTGGAAGCCTCTGCCTGGTGTCTGAGCCTGGAGGTCAACCAGCCTTCATCAAACCACACAGACCTTTGAGAATGTGTCGGGATCATGAAAAACATACAGCAGCTGAATGATGCGCTAGGACTGCACACAAGACAGATCATTTCTACAAAGTGTGTGTCTATAATAGAGAGTGACCCAGAGAGAAAGTAAGTACTTGCTATTGTTTGCCAGTGAGAGTGGCCCACCCACTAACTGCTCACAGGCTAGCCCAGAGACTCTGTTTAATCTTCAGCCGCTGTCAATCACAGACAGAGAAAACAGAGAAAGAGACGACAGAAGAAGGGAGAGGCAGAGACCCCCCCCCCGCCTCCCAGTCTGGTCAGGATGAGTCCTCTTTTCAGACGGACCACCTCTGCCTACAGCTGTTGGTATATAATATATATATAATAGTACATTCCCACACTGTAGGAATGAGTAAAGGAATACTGATTCCTTAAATACATCTAGAAACTAAAATGTGTTAAACACAAAAGTACATTATTTTTCAGTTTTCTCCCTATTTCACAAAGGCTATATTTCTCATTACTTAGCAGAATAAAGCATGTTGATAGTGACTTTTCACTACTAACACATCCAAATCTTTTAGTGACTACATTCTGGTTTGTGTAGGATAAAGGCAATTGGATATGTTCCACTTTTGTCGGCTAAATGTCGGCAGATGGAAATATTAAAGGATGAATTACCAAGTCTCCCACAGAAACATTTTTAACAGCGGAAACTTGAGAAAAGCAGAAACCTGGTTTTGCAGTAAGCCCCTCTGAAGTTGGCCCACAACAATAGAACAAAATAATGGTGGAGAAAATAATTTGCTTCAAGAAACGAAACCCACAGGAAGTTTGCTGAGGCAAAATGCATAATGGCCAAAAGGCAGTACTACACCTTCCGTGTCAGTCCGTGACATCACTGGGTCCAAAAATGCTTTTTACCATTGATTTATATTTGGAAAGATACGTCTGTAAATCAGCGGATACTTCTTTTTTAAACCTAAATTAACTATCCAGCACCAACACTTTTATAGCTCTTATTTGAATCATTACGGTCTAACAGTTGTAAAATGCTCTAAAAGCCGAAATCAGAATTATTTTCTCTCCCCACTCATTCTACTGGGCCGAGACCGGGTGATTGGAGGCTTAATGGAAAACTCAAATGCGCGTGGTCTGTGAGCTACATATGGTACTTCTGCTCGAGACAGCCAGGCATGATGGGTAATTTGTGATATTTTGAGCGTAATGTCATGTTTACTGTCGACACAACCAACAAACCTAGGTGTTTATATTTCCATTTACACAACTAGTGTGTGTGTGTGTGTGTGTGTGTGTGTGTGTGTGTGTGTGTGTGTGTGTGTGTGTGTGTGACCACTCACCTCTATGGTCATGGGGATGTTCTGCTTGCGGACGTTGTGGTTGTGCTGGTCAGTGTTCAGCATGATGACAGCGTAGGCCAAGGCGAAGCCCGCATCGTTGGTCATGAAAGGAGAGCCGTTCACTTTCTACACACACACACACACACACACACACACACACACACACACACACACACACACACACACACACACACACACACACACACACACACACACACACACACACACACACACACACCATGTGAGGCTATGAAAGACTCACCTTGCACTTCCTGCTGATATAACAGTGAACTCAGAGTGGAAAAGTCATGTACACAGTCACTGTCTACAATTACTCAGCAACTCTTTCAAGGCCACTGTCTGAGTGTATGTGTGTGGCCTAAGAAAAGGACATTACTACGCATAGTTTCCAGCACACATGGCTCCTTCTGCTATTTTCAGAAGTCAAATGTTCCCCCTTGGGGGTGTGTCCATCACTGTGTGTCTGTGTTAAAACTTATGTCATCCTACTACTATAACCCCGGAGGGACCATCACGTGACAGTGTTTGATTTAAACTTTCACCACCTTTACAACAGCTGGAATGATCTGATGAAGGAAACGTCCATTTGTAGCTGGTGTGAGTTTGTGTCATAAAGGCACCACCCTTAAGTATTTACTGTAATGAATCAGAAAAATGATTGTGTTAGAAGATATGGGAAATTTAGCAGGTGGGACCAATCATTGTTTTACAAATCACAAAGTAGAAAGGAGCTGGGAAAAGAACATAATGCTACAGGCTAAATATCATGTATTTACGAAGCCTCAAAAGTCAGTTGGAAGCTGGGCTGATGATGAGTTCTCTTATGTGATATATTGTCAGAAAAAGGACGAGATAGTTGTCCGCACTTGTCATTCTAAGTCAAAAGTTCAAGTGAAGTCACGAGTCTCTGTTGTTCAGGGGCCTCACTTATAAAGGGATATACGCTCAAAAAATTGCGTACGCCAGTTTCTACGCAATGCTTGCGATTTATAAAATACTAACTTGACGGGAAAACGTGCGGTTCTCTACGCAAACTCTAACCCATGCGTACGCACTAAGCACAACAACGGGAGAGACGAGAAACAGCGACGCCGTTGGCAGAAGGAAGAATGGAGAGAAATATGTGGAAATAATACCATAAATAAATATTACCTCATTTATCATATATGAAGAATTCATTTTCACAAATTGATTAAAGCCAATCTTAAAATGATTTAACAAACGCCTGTTTGAGACTCCTCAGTGCACACAAAAACATAACTGAGAAATAAATAAATACGGATATGTTATTTAAAACCACCTCGAATATGTTGTTGTGTTAATGTTATGAAATGTTTTCTCATAAATGATGCGGTAAGCAGGAGGACAGAATTACGTCTAAACTGACGCCGTTTTGCATTTCTATAGGTTGTAGATACGAGCATGGTTTTATATACTATGTAATACATGTTTTAATCGTTGTTTTATGTCGTTTGCC